AATATATTTAATATAATATTTAATTTTATAAGATTATACTTACTAAATACAACCAGATCTGTTATATTAAGTTAATCTTAGTTATTTTCTATACAAATAACAGCAGCTATTATAAAGATATTAGAATCTTTGTAATTAATATCTATACCAGATAAATTTAAAATATATATTTAGATACTGAAGTAGATTCAAGCATATATATAATTAAATTAAAAAAAATTAAGATAATTCTTTTTTTTACAGGAGATATCCTGCTGAGAGATAGTTTTAATATATATATTTTTATTAATAATTAAGCTGTAATCTAGATAATAAAAGTCCCTGGCTATCTTTCCAAATAATTATATATAAAAATTATTTATAAAAGATTCAGAGCTCTATAAAATATAAATTTTATAATTTACTAAATCCCTGTATACATAAAGATTAAAAAAAATAAAATTATAGATTTTAAGATAAAGCAGATGGCAGAATACAGAATTAAATTAAAATAATAAATAATCTAGTTTATATCTACTGCTAAAAAGACTATTTATAATAAATTTAATAATAAATAAATTAAATAGTAAAAAATAAAATATATAATTATATTTATTAAATACCTGGTCAAGACTTCCAGTAGAAAAATAGTAAAGCTCTATAAGAGCTTATCTAAAATATATATATTTATAATAATACAGATATATATACAGAGAATTAATTTTATATATTTTCTTTATAAGATTAAGATACAGAAGAGTAACTAATATAATTATAAAAAAAAATTATAAATTTTTAAGTATATTCTTCTAGCCTGCTTCTACTTTATAAGACTATATAATTAAATATTTAATAAGATTACTGTATACACAGACCTGGGGAATAAGATTATTAAATATAATTTATTTATATTAAACCTGCAGGTAATTTATTATATTACTAAATTTATATTATAAACAGACTTACTCGGGCAGTTTAATTAAATTAAATTTAATCTTAAATTAAAATCTGACTCAGGCTAGGAATATATAGATTTCCAGACTATAAAAATAAATATTAAAAATATTAAATAAAAAACTCTATACACACTCCATGTGAGTTAATAGGAAAGGATATATATATTAAAAAGAATAAGTATATTAAAAGCAGAATATAAATAAAGAATAAAGTAATAATAGCTTATAAATAACTAACCAGCCAGTTATAATACTAATTTATCTTTTTACTTTGCTTTATGTTACTTTTATTATATTTAATTATATTTAACTATAGTAATGACTTTCCTATGTCACAGCATATATTATTTTAAGTATTAACTATAAGTTTAAGAGATTTAACAGTATTCAAAACCATATTCCCATTTTAAACAGTGAAGCACCTGCATAGCTAGCATCTTACTTAGCAGGCTCGATCAGGTATAAGAATATGAATTGAATTGAATTGGATACTACAGCTCAAAAAGCAAAGCAGCCCAATGCTGCATATGTATTATGTCTTCCAATAGACCATAGTAGTAAAATATGTATATCTATTTAGACCAGATCAACCAATTTCCCCATCTCAGAATGGTGGTCAAGAAGAGCAAAAGAAAGAAAGGAAAAGAACTAGATACAGAGTAAAGCAACCTCGCATACACACACGCAGATCAACCATCGTAGGCTCTAGAACCCAGCCACCGACTTCTCCGCATCATTCTTACCATACAACCCCTCACCGAGATTCTGCAGACACTCGGACCTCCAGTCATTGGGGGTGAACTTGTCCACGATCTCCTTGAACGCTTCCAGCGTACAGAAGCTCTCGTCACCAGGGAGATGGTTCTCGGCCTTAGCAGCGCAGCCGGGGATCCGGACAGGACGGTCGTTGTATCTAATGCGGACGTAGTGGGAGCGGAGGGATTCTTTGGATGATTCAGGGAGAGAGGACAGAGGGACACGGGCTGTTTCGGAGGGTTGGGGGGTGTTAGGCGTGCTGGAGGAGGAAGAGCCAGTTAGGAAGGAGAAGAGACCCTTCTTTTGGGTTGCGTCGCCAGATGTGGATGCCGCGCGTGCTTGGTCTTGTTCGGCTTTGGAGAAGAGCTCGATGGCTACGGAAGAGGTGAAGGGGGGCCATTTCCCGTCGAAGGCGCCCGTGCTGGTGAGGATAGCGGCGAGGGTGGTGTCGTGGCAGCCGCTCATGGCGAATTTGATGGCCTTGCCGTTGATTGGGGAGGAGCCGGAGGCAGAGGACTCGCTGCGCCAGCCGCCGTCAACGGCGGTGCTGACCATGCGGTCGACGACATCGCCGAGGAGAGCGCCAATGCCGAGTTTGCGGTATTCGTTGCTCTCGGTGTAGCCGGTGAACCATTCGTCGACGGAGATCTGGTCGATGTAGTCTCTGAGTTTGCGGTCGTAGAATTCGGAGGGGAGCTTGGTTGCGGGGCCGTGGGCATCGGTAGCGTTGATGGTGTCGTTGATTCCGCACAGTTGAGGGTGGCCGTCTACTGCGACTCGGGGGGAGCTTTCCGGCATCCACTTGGAAATGCGCTTGTTGATGTAGTCCATTTCATCAGAGGTGTTCCCTGTAAAATAGTTAGATTGTTAGTGGTTGAATGCTTGGCAGCTACTATGGTATGACGGAGTGCATTGGACTGGGGGATCTGAGTAGAGGACGTACATTTGAGTGCTGCTTTGTTCGCAAAGAGCCTAGCAAGCTGCCTGAAGCGGCGGCAGTTTCCTTCATTCGGGAAGAGAGTCTCCTCTGACACAGCGCGTGCAACGATCACCGGGGGTGGAAAGTCCTGGGTGCGGGCACTGGCGGGATACATGCCCCAGAAAGCTTGCTGGAGGGACTCGAGGGCACGGGGAATGGGAGTGGCACGAAGATACATATCCTCGGTATCGGACTTGACCTTGGGCATGAAACCCAGCTGGTCGACATACAAGTGCCGCAGACGCTGGCCTAGGGCAAAGGTGGTCTCCCGTCCTTTGTCTGTCAGCTCACCGTGTTGGCTGGGACTCAGTCAGCAGGACTCCCTGAAAGTTTATCGCTGAAGTCCAACTTGCCAGATGCCTTCTATATCACCAGTTGCTCCCACTGCAACCACAGATTGGTCTTTGTCGCCAAAAGCCTCCGTCTTCCTCCTCCATTCGAACCCGTTCCACGATGTGAGGTCTTTGTTGCTGGCGGCCATTTGAATCATCTGTCGCGCAACATTACAGTACGGCCAGTCTTTGCAGAAGTAAAGAAGTCAGTGAGGGGCCGGTCAAATGTATGCGTCAAGGTGGAAGGACGAATTACATGGAGCGAGTCCTGCCTAAACAATGTTAGCCTGGTGGAGATAAGCTGGGGGAGGAGTTGACCGCATACATTCTGGAAACGCGAAGAGACGGGCGTTCGTTCTCCTAAAGAGCAGACGTTAGATCAGGAATATTGAAGCAAAATTGTAATATGTATATCCTCCTTACCATGACGGAGAAACTGAACCATGCATTAGCCAGCGTCCTGCATGGGCAATCGGGGGGGTTGATTTGCCGGCACTTACCACTTGCACCAATTGGAGTTTCAAGTTCCGAGGATAGAGCCGGTCCAGCTCCTCCTGGGAGTAAGGCTCACGGGGGACCAGAGTTGTCATTGGAAAGGCAGTCCGCAGTGAAGCACCTGGCAGGACTTGAGAGACGGCGTCAATGACAAGGGGCAAGGTAAAGAGCGAGCCTGGCAGACTAATAAATGAATGAAAGACAATGGGCGCAACGGCCGGACAGGCGGTGATGACGCCAGCAGGCGGTCTGGCCGAGGGGAGCCAATGAACAGGCGGCCTTGAAGCCCGAGGCCGTTTCGATGGTTTTTCGCGGGGATTTTCTCCATTCATTCCATTTGCTGTGCCTGCTTTAATTTACGAGTAAGTTCCTCGGGTGAACGCTTGTTGATCAGGGTCCTTTTGACTGTTTCACTAATCATTGGAGTCCTAACTGGTTACTAACTCTATATCCCGAGTAATCAAGTGTAAGTATTGTATACACAATCCGTGAACAATTATGCCCAATATGCCCAACCATCTCAACAAGATTGAATACAATCTACTACTCCGTAGTAATTGAGTCAACTTCCAGAGGTGGTCTTCTCCATCATCCTCGTAGTTTAGATAGGTGTGGTTGACAGGTTGTTCATGCACGCCAACTGCATATATTGACCGCACTTATTTCCCGATCAAGTCTCCGTAACCATACACCTCTTGAACCCTTCTTATGGGTCAAATAAATAATGGCCCTCTGTCAATGCCGCCATTGAATTCTATTGTCAGATTCGTGGTTGCCCTCAAGATCGGCCGCCCAATATGTGCACCGCATTGTCATGGTATCAGTTCTGTGCAAATTACCACATGTTGTAAGATTACCTTGTATTGTATCCCGGCATGAAGCCATTTGCGTCGCTATCACAGCTGCAAACTTGACAGCTATTCATCTGTACTCTGTAGCATGAAATAGATAACTGCCCCGGTAGTTGGTTGGAGGAATGCGGAAAGGATCACGCACCAAAGGCGGAGAGCAGCATCTCTCCGTGCCAAGCCGCACCTCCCGCGCTTATCGCATTGGACGCACCGCATCTCTTTCACTGTCCTCCACTTCCCATCCACTGTGATTGGCAATCCAGGAACGCACTGTCAGGCATTGAGACTTCTGTTGAGTATAAGCCACTCCCCATTGCACCATCTGTATGTGTTCTTAGCATCACATCTCCTCCAAGTCCCTGTGCAAGCCCTCCAATCCAGCCTGTTCTGCCCCGTGCCTACCCACCTATACATCCTATTTGGTCTGATTATCGCGAGAGAGAACGTATTGAGCCTCTCATCCCGTGACTCCCTTCCTCTTTCGCTTGAGTGATCATTTGCCAGCCATGCACTTCACACACTGCTGAGCCTTTCTTATTCCCATCCGTTCCTGTGCAACAAGCCACCTTCCAGTCACTCTGCCCATATCCTGGTTGCTCCGTCGATCATCTTTCCGGGGTTCTGGTGCGGAGATTGCAAACACTGCGTTTCATACTTCACTGTCTCTCGTTTGGCTTCACTTTGCTGGAACTCGATCTCTTCAAACACGTCCCTCTTCTCATCTCATATCATCGTGTCGTCTGAGACATTGAACTTGTGGTAAGTCTCTGCCAAGTTCTTTGGATGTAGTTGCACTCGCTGAGCTGATTACTTAGGTGGAAAGCATCGCTTCTGAAATAGCACAAGGATTGAACCGAGTCTGAAGCCATGGATGTAAGGATTCTTCCAATGCCCCTCTATCTTATCTGCAGATGAGCCTGCACCGTCTGTCGAGCTGTGGGAATCAATGAGGTGTCTTTTTGAGTGTTGTGCTGGACTGCTTGGCCCAGATTGGCTCTGCTTTATGTTGTTGCTGTTGCCTGCGTGTAAAAAGTACTCTGTGTTGTATGAGCTATCTGCAGATGCAGATGCCCTTCAACGTCCGACCGGCTCAACAAGAAATGAGTTGTTCTCTGTGCTCGGATACACCCAGAGCAATCAATTCTGTTTTGTACGAGTCTATGCACGTGTCAAACACGCCCGGCGAGTCCCAGGTGTTTTTTCACGTTCTCATCACATTCGAGCTCGGGGCACGTGACCTGTATTCACGCTTTCACCTCATGTTGTTGGAGAGGACTAGATAGCTCATGGGCATTCTTTTCTCTGCTGTTTTTGTTGTCTTTGCAGAAAGCTCCTTACGCGCTTGGTCATCATGGAGCTACCTCGTCGGATCGAACCTGGCTGGGGGAGCGCATCCAAACAGACCCCAAGCGAGAATACTGCAGCCCCCAAGTCTGATGCCCAGCTAATGCTTGAGAATCTTCTACAGGGAACTACCCAATCTATGGAGCAGTCCGCTGAGTCGGCCAATAAACCCCAGGATGCTAAGCCTCGTCTGATGCTCATGGGCCTGCGTCGGTAAGCTGTCCCTACCGTAGCTGGTCCCGTACTATATTCTAACATTACCTAGGAGCGGCAAGTCATCGATCGCTAGCGTGGTCTTTCACAAAATGCCACCCAACGAGACCCTTTTCCTGGAATCGACGACCCGGATCCAGAAGGATTCAATCCAGTGAGTACGCAGGTTCTCTACCATCCATACTGCACTGACACAGGCAAACAGCTCGTTCATGGACTTTCAGGTCTGGGATTTTCCTGGTCAGCTGGAGTACCTGGAGCCGTCTTTCGATCTGGAAAGCATCTTCGGAAGTTTGGGCGCTCTGGTTTGGGTCATTGACGCTCAAGACGATTACATGGAATCGGTGGCGCGTCTCAATCGCACGATCTTAACCGTTCAGCAGTACTATCCGAACATCAACATCGAGGTCTTTATTCACAAGGTCGACGGTATCACCGATGAATACCGCACCGACACTTTCCAGGACATTGTCCAACTCATCTCGGACGAGCTCAGTGATGCGGGCTACGAAAATGCTCCGGTCCATTACTACCTGACCTCCATCTACGACTACTCCGTCTTTGAGGCCTTCAGTAAGGTCATTCAGAAACTCATTCCCAACCTGTCTACGTTGGAGAATCTGATCAACACCTTGTCCAACAATTGCGGATTTGAAAAGACCTATCTTTTCGACGTTCTCAGCAAGATCTACATTGCGTCCGACACCCGTCCGGTCGACATGTCCTGCTATGAGATGTGCTCCGACTATATTGACGTTATTGTGGACATTTCGGAGCTGTACTCCTGGGATCACCCCGACCGCAAGGCCAAGGGCGAGCAGAATCAGGAGGCAGAAAGCCACGCTGTTTTGCACGATGATACGATGATCCACCTCATGGAGATGAACAAGTATGTGACCGAGCTACCCATTCTTTGACGATACTAACAGATAGCAGGTATCTTTGTCTTGTTTCTGTTATTCGGAACCCCGAGTCGAAGGATAAAAAGGGCCTTATCGATATGAATTGCCGTACCTTCCAGGAAGCTCTCAATGATGTCTTCTCCCGCAGCTGGGAGCAGGACCAGGAAGAGCCCGGAGTGGTGACCGAGGAGTAAAATACCGAATTCATTTGCATTGGCGAGGTTGTCTTGTTTTTTGTTCTGTTTCGTCGTCCCTCTTTTGGGGCTTAGCAGGGAGTATTGAGGCACGGTTCGGGATGGCATGACACCTCGGATGAGCCCTCTATCTTGCGACCTCGAGAATATGTGAAGCTCTGGTAGTGTTCACGCTTTTCTGATGGGATCAAGTCTGAGGCTGGTACTTTGATAGTATTATATCCGAGTTAGTAGTCAATACCATAATGTGATATTCTACCAAGTAAACATTCGACCCGCAGTAGCCCTTGTAGTAAGGCATCAAGGCATCAAATCGAACGTGAGAGACCCGCCCGGCGGAACTTTCTTCCTGCGCAACATAAATTCATCTGGAAATTCTTTTCTTCGCTTGTTTTCTGTCATCACCAGCTGTGGTTTTTGAACGCCTTTTGCGACTTCAAAAATGGATTGAAGAATTTGCGATTGGCTATGCCAGTACTAACTTCGAAGCATCAATACTACAGGTATATTATCATCAGCAATCTTTATGGTAAGTTCGACAGAATTCATTGCACATGCTTCAATCAAGCTTCCCTCCCCAATCTCGATGATGAAAACTTTTCCTACATTCGCAGTTTCCACGCTAGCCGTCGCGAGAACCCATTCTAGACGTGCTCTGTGCGCAATACTTCCTTGGATGTCTGACGAGATTGAATGCCTTTTGCCTTTGCTTCTGCAGATTTTATGTAGTTGAACTTGGCTAACTGGATTAAAGTCATAGGTTCACTTTAGATGCACATCTGCTTCGATATAGATATCAGGAGGAATACTAGACCAAGGCATACTTATAGTGTGCAGGATAATGGAAATGGCGCAGAAGCAGCTAGCTACTGATCACCCAGTAGCTTTATGCTTTAGTCAGGATAATCATCTAAACAATGCAAGAATTATGATCTGTACAAATACCTCTCCAAGTAAACCAAGACCGTAGCTGTACCTCTGGCCCTTAAATTTCAATAAAAGCACTATACCTGTCACACCATGCGACTCCCGAAACAAGCCAACGGAGAGCGCGGAAATACTAAGGGTACTTAGCCAAGCAGCAGCAGCTACTTACCTTTTACCTAACCATCCATCCATTCCACCTATCCCTCTTCTCCCATTACTATACCTACCTCTACTTGTCTCCCAATCCAATGGCCTACAAGTAATTTACAACCAACTATCTCACCACCAACACATACACATACAACAACATACAGTAACAACCATGTCCTCCGAACTCCGCCAACGCCAAAAACCAACCCCATCGAAACCCTCCAAAACCACCAATTCCTCCTCATCAGCATCCTCATCACCCAAAAATGGCATCTCCATCCTAGACATCATCCGTGTGCTGGCCACACTCCTAATCGCCTCGTGCGGTCTCTCCTACTACATGACCTCATCCGAATCCATCCTCTGGAACTACCGACCCTGGTTCACCCGCTGGCCAGTCCTAGTCCGCTACATCGTATGCCTCATCCCCTCATCCCCATAACCCCCTCACACCACACACATGTACTAAAAATCAACAGCAAGGCCCCCTCCTCCTAACCCCCACCGAACTCTCCCTCTACAACGGCACAGACCCCACCCTACCCATCTACCTCTCCATCAACGGCACCATCTACGACGTATCCGCGAACCCGCTCGTCTACGGCGCCGGCGGCCACTACAACTTCTTCACGGGGCGGGATGCGACGCGCGCCTTCGTGACGGGATGCTTCAAGGAAGATCTCACGCCGGATATGCGCGGCGTCGAGGAGATGTTCATCCCGATCGATGATCCCGAGGAGGAGAAGCGGTTGACTAATGGACAGAGGAAGGTGCGGAGAGAGCAGGATTTGAGGATCGCTAAGCAGAGGATTCATAAGGCTGTGGCGCATTGGATGGGGTTCTTTGCGAATCATAAGAAGTATTATGAGGTGGGGAAGGTTGTGGAATTGGAGGAGGTTGTGAAGAGGGAGGAGGAGGAGGGCGTTAAGAGGGAGCTTTGTACGGCTGCGAGGCAGCAGAGGATGACGAGGGAGCAGGTTGAGAAGGCGAAGGGGGGGAAATAGTAGGTAGAATTAGTTATATATGGTATGTATGGTGTAAGTGTATGATAGTGGTTTTGGTGGGGGGGAGGGGGGTGTTATCGTTGGTTATCTAGATGATACATATCATGTGAAGATTGAAGATATCCATCCAGACGTTTGGTATCGCTACAAGTGCATGTATCTAGTCTTCGACTGGTTCGCTACGCAGCCCTTTAGAAATATTCATCTACACGGAAGTGATTGGAACAGATTTTGGTTGAATTTCAGCCAGTCATATTCTAACTTGACATGTCCATCAAATCGCCCAGCCCGACTTTCCGAATTTTCATTCGAGTGATATCATATCGTTGCACAAAGAAAAATGCGACGCGCGAGGAAAAATATTCATAGCGTCATACGTTTACTCGGCGGTGACGGCGCGGGCTATATCAGAGTCAGTATTCCATCACACATACACACATATTTACTGTAGGAGGTGCGTACTGTAGATGTTCATCTTGGAGTGACCAACAACCTTCTTGATCTGTCCCTTCTCCTCAAGGTCAGCAAGGGCCTGGCGGGCCAAGCTGCCGTTGATCTTGAGACGGTCGACCAGAGTGGCGACAGTGATCAGACGGTAGGACTGGACATCCTTGTTGAGACGCTCAGCGGTCTGCTTCTCGAGGACGACGGCGTGCTGGGCCTTGTCCTTGACTATATTCGGAGAAAAAATTGATGTCAGTAAATCATGTTCCTGTTCATTTTGTTCTCGGTTTTGTGTATCGGTTCGCGATCGATCGCATTTCATGCATCATGTGCGTTGTGTGTAATATCCATCCATCCATCGCTATCGGGGAATATGTATATGTGTGCTTCTTCTTTCTCTTCGTTCGATACAATAACAGGCGATCTTCGACTCTTGAACTCGATAGGGGGGGATAATAATAATGGTGATGATGATGATGATGATGGAGAACGGGGAATTATAGCGTACCCTTGCCCTTGGACCACTTCTTTCTGGTAGGAGCCTGCGAAATAATATTAGCATTGATACATCTTCCCCCTTTCTGCACTGCGAGTTGCTACTCGGCGTTGGTACTCACCATTTTGACTGTCTGATGTAGCTGTTCGACGGAGGAGAGCTGCACAACAGATCGAACGGTCTGAAGTTTGAGTGCCCAAGTGCGAAATTCGAGTGGGGGATGACTCAGCGTCACGTGCGGATGAACCCTAAGCCCTGGGCTGTCGGTGCCGCTCGGTTAGCATTGGCTGCTGCAATGCCGGATGTGATTGGTCGGTCGGGATACACCTGTTTGTATGCTCGGTGGTATAGTACGCAGTACTAAAGTATAAGGGTCTGTGAAACATTGGTAGGACCCAACGGCATGATTAAGATTAAGTATAGTTTCCGCTATGTACACAGGTATTGTATCAGTTCGTTATAGGGCTTCCCTCATGAAAATCTCCCTCGTAAAAGCATACCCGGCTTTGAAGCCATTAGGTGTAAGGTAGTATAGAGGACCAGCTGGAGATATGATCATTCAGCCGGATGGATGCGCTTTGTAGCACTCGTCGACGGCAAACTCATCTGCTCGTACCTGGTCCGTAGCTACTTCCCTTGACCTTACCATTAATGGTTGTGGTAACCTTGAATTGTGGCGAATCTTCGACACTCTCAAGGTGACCAAGTACAAAGTCGTCTGGGGTTCCAAACCAGAACTTCGAATCATCGTCCTCATCGAAAGACAGCCATCGCACCTCGTATCGTCCGGTCTCGCTTCGCGGAACGGGGATGCGAGTAACCAACGGCTGGCTATACGGCGACCAGTACCGAACAGCAGCGTAGGCGGTATTCGCTGTGGTTATAAGTAATTGCGTCTTGGAATGGTGCCACACGACCTGTCTAACAGTATGTTCGTGGACTAGTGCCGACAACAAGACTGGTGTGCTCTCCAAATCCCATATCCAGACAATGTTTGGTCGCGTCGGATCGACGGTGCCCAGAAGAGTCCCGCTGGCGCTAAAGGCCATGATCGACACTCCCCGAGGCGCCCCGGATGGTTCGACTGGCATACCAAACGCAGAGGAGCTTGATGCTTCGGCATATTCAAGGTCTCCGTCAGCTGCATAGCGTTCCCGCCAGACACTGGGGGAATTCTGCTCTATCTGAAAAACATGAGACAGTGTGACAGAACAGGAAAACTAGATTTATTAGCTTCGTTCATACATAGAGCAGCCATCCGAAGTAATCTTACTGTTCGGGTCTTGAGAATGTCGACAGTCCCATCGACCTTACCAACGACCAGAAGCTCTGACACACCGCGTTGCCCGGTAACAGGGCTCCACTCTATCCCTCTAACGCCGAGGTCGAGCGAACTATCGATGCCCGAAGGGCCACTATATGTTCTGAAGAGCTGCCCATCAGCCGTGAAAATGAGGACTCTGGTGCCCGCACTCGCAGCATCCCACACGGCTATCCATCTCCCGTCCGGACTCCATTTGAGGCCCTGAGCGTCTATTGTAGGCAAGACTGCTCGGCCTATGAGCTCGTAAGATCGAAATTCGTGGATTGTCAATAGATCAACTGCATCCGGCTTCAGAAGAACAGCAAATTGCCTTGTTTTGGGCCGGTAACCGAAGCCATTGCTGTTCGAAAACTTGGGACTTTTGATGATTTGGCTTCGACCAGAGTCCAATCCGAAGACTGTGATTTTCGTATTCCAGGCATGAAAGAACACGACCTCGTTCTCATCGCCTCCGAAGTCGACGTATGTAGCGCCAGGCTCAATGCTTTCGATTTCTGCGAGCAATTGCAACGGGTCCAATTGCCAGACCAGGATCCGTGAATCACTAGAACAAAGCACGCGTCTTCCTGGGGAACTCACTCCTGCGTAGGAGTGCGTGCTTGAGGGTAGAACAGGCTTGGATCTGGAGAATTTCAAGAACTTTGAAGCAATCTCCTTAAGCTTGACGATCTGTACCTCTTTGAAATCAGGCGATGCCGGGTCCAGATGGATGACAAGATCTTTGCCATTCAATTGCGCGGCATAGTCGCCATCCTCAGATAGAGAGATTGTGTTTGAGACTAAACTCATCATCAGTGATACAATTTGCTACCAAAACGGCTATAAACGTACCCCCTGCTCCGGTGGAGTCCATTGTTGATTTCAGTTGCAGCTAGGTTCAGTAACTGCCGTCGAGATGCAGTACAGAAATTATGGCGCGTGCATGTACTCCTGGTATCATGCGCATCCTAGACACTGTTTCTCATCACGAGCTTCCAGGGATCGAAGTCCTGGGACTGTTTTGAAGGTTTCATTATTTATCTGAACCCACTTTATTGGAAGGCGCCAAGGCTTCACATAGATTAGGTAAGCAGTACTATGAAAACACAAATTTGACAGCTTTTAATGATAGCCATGCGCATCAACAAAGCCTGCAAAGATTACAAGAGAGAAGTATCCATTCTCAGTCTAATATCATGCAATATATAAGCATCTGACCTCTGGTACGACGAGAAACAGGCATATTGAGAAAACAGCTGAGTGGCGTGTGCATGTTCTTTCCCCGGATAAGATAAGAGGATCAACATTGATCCCCTCCGAAATAAATTAATTGTCGGTAAAAAAGCGCCCGCCATCCGCATCATTTGCGACTTCCAGACTCCAGATACCCTCCGCAAACCGCTACCTCGATCGCTCCTTTCGGGGACAAGAATCTCTTAGTTCGTAAAGATTCGTCTCCCTCGGTTCTCACCCCCCTGGCTGGGGCACTTCATCCCCAAGTTTCTACGCCCAAACGTGAAAATGGCGGTCCCGGAGACACAGCCCGCTCCGCAAGGAAGCGTCGCAGACCAGAATGCGCCTGTAGCTGCGGTTGCTGAACCGAGAAAGAAGCTCCTTGGAAGACAGTTCTACGAGAGTATTGGAAGCCCGAAGTACATTATTGCACCTATGGTGGACCGCTCTGAGTTTGTAGGTTCCTCTATGAACGTACTCTTCGATCACAACTAATCATCTCGGAGGCGTGGCGCATGCTCACTAGGTCGTTCATGACACCGGAAGACCAGAAGAAGGTTCTTGCATACTCCCCCATGTACCATGCGCGCTTGTTCCGTGAGCAAGAGAATGTCCGCGTGCAGCACTTCCACCCTACTCGCGCTGCCGCCGGCAAAGGCGAGGATGAGTCGCCATATCTCGACGGAAATCCTTCGTTCGATCGGCCTCTATTCGTACAATTCTGCGCCAATAATCCTGATGATTTCTTGGAAGCCGCGCGCCATGTGGCTCCATACTGCGATGCGGTTGATCTCAATCTGGGATGTCCCCAAGGCATTGCGAAGAGGGGTCACTACGGTGCTTTCCTCCAGGAAGACTGGGATCTGATTTACAGGCTGATCAACCGACTTCACAACGAACTCTCGATTCCAGTCACTGCCAAATTCCGTATCCAGGAAACGAAAGAGAAGACGCTCGAATATGCGAAGATGATCTTGTCCGCTGGTGCGAACATAATCACGGTGCACGGACGGAGAAGAGAACAGAAAGGCCACAACACCGGACTGGCTGATTGGAGCTACATTCGCTATCTCCGCGATAACCTTCCCCCAGAGACGGTCATCTTCGCGAATGGCAATAACTTGAACTATGAGGATCTGGACCGTTGTCTGGAAGAGACGGGTGCTGATGGTGTCATGAGTGCGGAAGGCAACTTGTCCGATCCATCGATCTTCAGCAAGCCCCCTCCAGTTGGCAGTGAAGGGAGGGAATACTGGCGAGGCAGGGATGGAAAGGGTGGATATCGTATCGACGCCATGCTACGGCGGTACTTGGACATCATCTACAAGTACGTGCTTGAACAACCTGTTCCGGACAGGAAGCCGCTTTATCTTCCATCGGACGCAGTGGAAGAGGAACCTGAACAGACAACCGAAATAACCGAGGAAACCGAAGACGGCCCGCCCAAGAAGAAGCAGAAGCGCGAGAAGTCAAAGAGAGCGGCCTCTCCCAGTCTCGGTGTCATGCAGGGCCATCTCTTCCAGCTTCTCCGCCCTATGGTCTCTGTGCATACCAATGTCCGTGACGCGCTGGCAAGATCGAGACCTGGCGACATGCCCGCATTCGAAAACGTCCTGGCCCTCGTCGAGCAGGCGATCAAGAAGGGTCTTAAGGAATACGAGCAATTCCCGGAACGCTTTGAGAAAGATCCGAACCAAGAATTGACCGGATCCAAGGCGACCATTGCCGAGTACGGCCGACCTTGGTGGATCTGCCAGCCACACATCCGACCACTGCCTGAGGAGGCTGTCGAACTGGGCGCGCTTACTGTGAAGAAGAAGAACGATGGCAACGAAAAGCCCAAGGCGGACGAGTCGTCTGAAAAGGCCACCCCTTCTGCAGAGGGATCTGCCACTCCTTCGAAGACGGACGGGGCAGCTAACACGCCTGCCACGGCGACTACTCCGGACAACCTGGTGAGCGGTTGATATCACGATTCAAGATTTGGTGTTTTTTGCGGAGTACTGGGACCAGCATCTTATACCCAAGTTGGGCATAGCTACTATTCATGTTAGATATAGACGCATACAGAGCACATAGTACATAGAGCTACGTTTATGAAGCCATAATTCTCAATTCGCTTGAACTTCTCCATGTTTAGCATCACTTACAGTACAATCACTGGTATCATAACCCATAAAAGCATAAACCCCAACCCCATAAACTCCATCCCAACCCATATAGACCAGAAAACCCATCTAAAAATCCATAACAAGCTGCGGCGCCATCTTCTCCAAATCCTCAACCTAAACCCAAACATAGTCAGCAAACACCCACATAACCTCCCACGCATCAACTAAACACCAACAAAAATATGAAAAAAGGGAAAAGACAAACCTCCAAAAACCCATCCCCAACCGAAGCCCCCTTCCCAACAGCCTCACTCCTCTCAAACGCCGCTCTCGCCAACGCCTCCCTCACAAAAACATCCACATACTTCGCGACAACCGTATTCGCATCCTTCGCGATCTTCGTCTTCTCATTCTGGAAATGATGATGCAGTAACCTGGTCAACAACTTCGGCGGAATAACAGGATCGTTCGTGAGCACATCATCAGATGGCTGATCCTTGTGGATGATCTCCGCGAGAATGTAGTCCGGTTCTGGCTCTGGCTCTGGGGATGATGCGTCTGAGCGGGCGGGGGACGACGAAGAAGCGTTGTCGTTGTCGCTGTCTTCTTCGGAGTCGGCGGGGCTGGGTGATGATGGTCGGGGGCGTGCGGATTTGGATGAGGAGGCTTTGGCTGGTGCTTCTTTGGGTTTGGGTCCTCGTTTGCTTGCTGCTGCTGTTGTTGATTTTGTTGTGGCTTTGGCTTTGGGTTTGCTGGTAGTTGATGATGATGATGCTGGGGCAGCGGCGGTGGAGGAGGTTCGACTTGGTGGTTTGAAGGGGAGTTGTCTGCGCTTTTGCGCGGGTTTTCGCTCGGGAGGCATGGTGTGTTGGGTCTTTGTATCGAGGGTCGTTACTTTGGTGGTCAATTGATGATGTGTTCCTCGTCGCGGGGATTTGGTCTTCTTGCGCGGATGCGCGGGTCCGTGACGCGTGGTCAGGTGATTTGCTATCTATATAATCTATCTGAGTTTACCATCGTTGTTAGTTCGCAGTTTTTCAATCGTGAGGAAGGTAGTTGGTAGGTTACTGTACTATTTTCACTATATATAGGCTGCATAGTTTGCAGGATGAGGTTGGTTCTTTGTATCGAACTACACTATCACTCCGAAACAATTTATATAAGCGATGGTGGTCGATCTATTTCTATTGAAGTCGAAAAGAATATCTTCACTATTCAATAAAATGCAATATCCCACCTTATCACTGTAAGTCTGATCTTAGGCCTCACCGAATAATATCAACCTATGCAACAGCAATCAATACACCTCATACATCCATTCAGTCATCAGCCGGCGTCACCACTGTAACATCAAGTCCCGACTTCTCTAATATCTCCCTTGAGCGAGCCCACTCCACGCCAAACAACCCAGAGTTGAACCGACACGACCACAGATCAAGAAGTATACCCTCTTGGTCTTCAATGTGATCAAGTTGTTTCTTCATATCTGCAATGGCAAGCTCTGTATTCTCCAGCACTATATTTTCGGGACTGACCATCCTTCCGAGCCCTCTTGACGTGAAAAGGCAGATTATCCAACGGCGTTTCCTGCGGTCATTCTCATGATCTCTCTTCTGTGGTGGAATAATGAGAGCAGTTCCTTCTGGCAGTCGAGCTTTTCGTGTGCCATCGCTTGTTGTGATAGTATCGTATCTGGGCTTGGAAGAGAATTGTCGGCAGTGGGATCGATAAACCTCATATGCAGCAGGGTACTGTCAAGCTTTAGTCAAATTCGCATAGAACGCTAGGTGAAATACTACGAGAGACGCACATTGCTTCGGAAGACCCTTGCTATTCCCTTCCCCCAGGTGCCACGGCAGTTACATGCATCTGTTTCCATTTAGTTACATTCATATTCGTGGATAGAGAAACGTACGGATCAGCGCTGCTCCCTCTGGAGCATCGAACAGGCTACCTTGGATCTCTAAGAGACCCCCTGTAGTGCTTCTTGGCTCCATACGTCCTGAGTGTGCTGTGTGTGTGTGTGTGTGTGTGTGTGTGTGTGTGTGTGTGTGTGTGTGTGTGATGATATGGTCCACCGTTCTTTCGAGAGCAACAGGAGGACCAAGTACCAGACAAGGATTAAAAAAAGGATTTAAATCACGGGCGTTATTCGAATTTTAGCGGTAGTAAAGAGGCTAATAGACAAAACAAAATTGAATTCAAAGAAGGTAGCTACCGTGAATACAATCGATCACCGTTGAAACTTCCGCACAGTTTGCTCATGATGGCAATAAGTGACCTGTTAAGAAAATACAAAAGACTCGTTGGATGGCGAAAGTGAATGATAATGACAAAGAGTGTAAGTACAAAATGAACAAGAGAATTGTTTTGGGGTAATGGTCACGACAATGTAGGCTACTACCGCGTATCCCCGGACTTTCCAGTCCGTTCTGAACCTTGACGGTTAAGAAAATGACGGAAGCCCCTGGATTTTGTACCTGACTTCGACTTGACATCGCTGTCCGTAGCATCACTTGCTAGTGACTCTTTGCCCGGCGATGGCGCCTGTGTGCCACCACAAGCCCAGGAAGATGTAGTTGCAACCGAAATAGGCGCGCTCTGCGAGCTGGTGGATTTCAGCCTTCGACTCATGGTTCGTGAGACGGTTTTGAATAGACCAGAGCCGTGATCTGGGGAAGAACGCTCCAAACGAGCAATTTCACCCATCATTGTCACTCCGTTGGTCGCGAAGTTCTCTTCTGGAATTGGAATATATAAGATGACTCCTCGGTTTGGAGCCACATGGAGGATTTCTTGCAGTGCTGCCTGGATCAGAATGGTGCTACGAAGGTTGGTTATCGGTGCGATGAGGTATGGCAGCGCAAAGACTTTCATCAGGTAGGCTGGTAGATTTACTCTCCCGAATTGGATGCACGCGTCTTCTTGGATGGTGGTCATCATAAGTGTTTCGGATTTCTGGAAGATGCGTGCCATATGGGACGAAATGTTCGAGACAAGCGACTCCATTTCTTTGACCTGCACCTGGGGTCAGAACTATACAATGATCATACTCTCATTGCTGGGGATGATGAGCAGATATAGACCATCACGTACCTTGGTGTTGACCTTTATCTCTACCACCACGACCGAATCCTGGCTGATCTGGGTTCTGGGTGAGGTCAACGGACCTCTAGTGCTAAAGGCGTCTTCGAAGTACTGGCTTTTCGTTCGAGTCATCGGCTTCTCCTCAACACTCTTCCGCTCTACATGAGCTGGCTTGACATCCAGAGGTGCACCGCCAGTCAGAGCAGAAATCGGGGCCTCGTCATCATCCTTCTCTTCTAGGAACATGGATGGCCTCACAGGTGCCCTTTCTAGTTTATTCTTCTGCTTGAGTGTTGCCTCGGAGACATTAACTGATGCAAATGCTTGGAACGTGACAGGTGACTGGAGAACAGGTACTGGTGGTGAGATACTGCCGGACGACGTGTTCGACAAATCGTTACGCCGTCTTCGCAGGGAAAAGTCAATCCTGTGGCGCCTTGCGGTCATTGCGGCGTAGATGTTTATGAAGTTCGTAAAGATTGCCCGCTATTTCTTTGCTGCAGTATAAGAAGTTATGTAGGACTGACTTAGATTCCTTGCGAAGGTTGTTGAGACGTTGATTAGACGGGAGATATGATACTTCTAAGAGGTAGTACTTCCTGCCAGTACTGGCTCCCAACGCGGTAAATTATATCTGTGTAGATAGGCAGGTACTAGCCATCACAAACCAGTAGGGCTGCCCGGTACACCCAGAAGGCAGCTACGGATCAGCCTTGCCATACACGAGTGTCCACCGACCAGTTGCACGAGGCTCACGATAGAATAACCACATCCCAGTCATGATCGCCGGACCGCATCATGGAACCGACAAACACACTCAAGCCAAAAACCCAAGATAGTCAAAGGCAGAGTTGCCACTATAGAATATCTTGTCGATTCTCCGTCTCCTGTCCCACACGATCTCTCCATCCGACCGACGTTTGATATAGAGGATTCGGTGTTGAGGAATAAACTCCTCGTCGGTTGTCTCCTTCTTCCACGCATTGAAACCAGACTCCAAGCGTCCTTCGAATCGATCTTCATACCCAATAACGTAATTGGTACCATCGAAGGCAGGGTCCCAGATAATACGGTTGATTATGTCTGTGATTGAATTAGCGACCCTGCCAGGAACCAGTTTTAATACTATATACCTGCTGCAGGACGAAGTCTATTCTCCACAGGCTCCGGCTTCTGTGAGCCTATCGTGACAGAGTTATACTCCGTCTCGAAGGAAGTAGGCGTTGGAGGTCTTGATTGAGCATCCGACTGGGGCTTCGAGCTACGCTCGTAGTCCTGCTCAGGGGCATCGTGAACTTTCTGCTGTATCTCGGTCGATGGTTCTGAAGCCATGATCTCAATAGCTATCACACTCTTCGGTTCTGGTACTGTCCTGGAAATGTTTGGTTGTAAGCTGAGATGATTGAAGACATGTTCACAGGTTATATATTTTTGCTACAAAGTAGTGCGACATAACCAAAAGACCATCAACTGGAAGCCTACTATGTTGCTCATACTGCCGAATCCAACAATATGTGTAAGCATGATCAAAGTATGTTGCATGGAAGGCCTGATAGATCCACCGCATCGCATCAGATAACGTACTATACTGATGCCCTGGATGATCGCCGTAGACTGAAACGGGAAAGTGAGTCGAATGAACGTGGCTTAGCGCACTCCTGGGATGGAAATATGACTCATGATCGAGTGTATACATTATGAGTGATGTTGAGTCAGACTTGGCAATCAACTATTTGACCATAGGAGGAGTTTCGAGGAGAAGCAACATCGAGTAGCGTCAGGTGCAAAAATGTAAGTCAAGTGTTTCCGAAGAAAGGAAATGTAATAATTGTAGGATGGAGTATTCGGTAATAAACAAAAAAGGAAATTTGAACTCCGATAGGGGGAATCGAACCCCCGGCTGCCGTGTGAGAGACGGCGATGTTAGCCACTACACCATATCGGATCTTGTTGAAGAATGGAGCTAGCTTTTGCATCATAAGCCATGACCTAGAGGTTTGATCAATAAATCCACGCTAGTTGTTGGATTGACTAGCATTAATATGGAAGAACACCCAGGCTGTAAAACGGAATGCAAAGTAAGACTGAATTCTAAGAACAATCTCTAAATGTGTGGGCGGCAGAACCCCGCGTCCTCAAGGTACACAGTCTTGGCTCCAACGGAAGCCGGGTCTCCTCACGCGGCGGACCGAAATCAACTGTTTTAACCCGCATTCGCGCGCAAACGCGTCTACCTAAGAAGTCCGAAACCTCCTTCACCCCTCAATACGAAATCTAGATCATGAACCCTGACAGGAAGATATCAGGATGAGTGACGCGACAACTTCCCTGCTCACAGAGCATTTCAGCTATACGCCACTAGTTCGTATGGCCCTTTGGCGACGCGCTGTCGAAAACAACCCAAGCTGACTCGGCGCAGTCTCTCATAGATGACATTATCAACTCGATCAACAACTTAATCTATCAAGCTATTTCAAGTCTTGAAACAGGTCTACTGGGCACGCCTCCGGAGCGCCTGGGTTTCTCGCATGCGAACAATGGCTCGACTATACCTGACACCGACGAAGACGGGAATGTTATCTACCCAGAAGCACAGCTGGAAATCGAAAATGGACTACATCAGCTAGAAACACTGCTCGAGGCGACAGTCGACAAAACTTTCGATAAATTCGAACTTTTCGTGCTGCGCAATACGTTTAAGGTACCCGACGATCTGATGGGATGGATTCGGCTGAAGCACTACGAGGTATGTTGACCTATCAAGCTTCCAAATCCCCTTCTCTTCTAACCAGCCTGTCTCCTGATTAGAATCTGAACTTGGAGCCCCCCTCCGATGCCCCCACTCCAGAGACGATCTCTGCCCAGCGGAAGAAGTTACACGAAACCAAGAAATTGAATCGGGTGCTGAAACAGGAAAGCGCACGTAATGAGGCCGTAATTGCTCAGTTACGCTCCATCCTGTCGAATGCGCAGACCGCAAAACAGGAGAATGGTGTCACACCCAACGGTCAACCAAACCTGGACTTGTCTTTCTTGACTTCTAGCCCAGCTGCACAGCAGCTACGTGTCGGTGCCGCTACCGGATCAAACACCCAACATACGCCGATCACCACGAACGCCACGTTCATATTGTCTCAGCTCCCTGCTCTACAAGCGCTTCTCAAGGAACTCCGGCCGAAATTGGCGACTCTACCACAATCCGGAGATAAAATGGATACGGAACCCAAAGCCGATGCGAGACGCGAGTACATCGAGAGCAGAGTTAGGCTGCACCTCGAAAGGGCTGGTCAGCTGGCAGTTGGTAGTGATAATACTACCGTCGTTGCCGGCCGCAAGATTGATATTGCAGAGGCACAGGCTCTTGAGGCTGTTACGGGAATGCTTACGCAAGGAGACAAGAAATCAGCTTAAAGGGCGTGACCGAGAAACACTGGGATGGTTCTTTGTCCCAATTCCGTCAAGGAGATCTATCTTCACACAATTCACCGCATTCATGCAGACCACGACACGCTCCATGTCTGCTGGTCCCGTCTGAATGGAACGACGTCCACCTTGTCCGACTTCAAGATGTTCGGGATCTTCTCATCCTTCCTATCAATGACGATGAACTCCTTCTGCTCTTCGCCGATGCCATAGAAATTGCGACCAAACTTGCTCATGAAACCCTCGATGATCTCGGGGGTGATGTCTTCTTCCTTCAAGACGCCATTCTGGCAAGCTTGCTCGAACGCGTCGATGACAAGCTGGGTGGTGTGGGGCTGAGTGAACACACCGGCTGCGATCTTATCGCCTCCTCTCTTGGACACGGCCGGGTGAGGTGCGCTGTCGGATCCGAAGAAGAACTTGGGATTACCGGAGGCTGCTGCGCGCAAAAGGGCATCACGATCCGCGGGCGTCTTGGCGACCGGCTTGCAGAAGCAGAACGGATCTCCAGCCCAGGAGTCGATGATGATCGACAGGTGATGGGCCGTGACTAGAACAGCTGTTAGTGTACGATTATTCAGCTATGGAAAGAGTACTCACTTGTTCCGGCAACAGTAGGGCCACACTTCTTGACAGCCTCAACCGCAGCGGCGGTGGTGCAGTGCTCGAGAATGATCCTCAGCTTGGGGAATTTCTCGTGCAGCTGGAGCAGGGTTGGCAGGAAGCGCTCCTCTGCCGTCAAAACGGTCACATCACCCTTGGATGGGACTTCACCGTGCAGGTTGAGGATCATATCCTGACGCTCCATCTCAGCGAAGACGGGGTAGAACTGAGTGTAGTCGATGACGCCCGAGGAGGAGTTAGTAGTGACACCGGCCGGGTAACTCTTGACGCCAGTGATGCCGCGCTTCTTAGCATCGATGATGGTCTCCGGGGTTATAGTCTCATGGAGATACAGAGACATGAGATAGTTCACATTGGGCTCAATGGCCTGCAGACGCTGCTTGTACTCAAGCGCGCGGTCAACAGTGGTCACGGGAGGGACCAAGTTCGGCTGGTGAAAGACATCCAAGTTACTATATTGTCCCAATTGCAATGCAGCAGTTCCACCAACCACATATAAATATGGTCAGAAGTTCAAAGCGGTATAGAGTGTTGAATTTACCATAACAAAAACGGTGTTGACACCACCCTGTCTAATAGTAGGAGTAACAAGCTCCATCATATCACCATCGCGAAGATGCACTTAACTCCACCAATCCCAATTAGCCAAATTGAAACAATCCTAAACGCAACCAACCCCCCCTCAACTCCGGATACAATTGGTAGCCATTCAGAAAAAAAAAAGTACGCACCATGAAAGTCCGCGGAAGCGGGGAGCTTCACGCCCTGCAGCTTGGAGAGAGGCATTCTTTTTCCCGAACAATAGTAGAACTTTGAGTACCGAGGTATAACCAAATTAGGTCTAAAGATTCGAGGAAACAGCATGAACCAAATACTGAATCCAATCAATGATGTATAATAATGGTCAATAACTAGGGGAAATCAACTACGTACAAGAAATTCCCATGGACCGGTTTTTCCCCGCCAATTTTTTGTCGCGGGGGAATTTGGGATCCATGACCGCCTTGCTTGTGATTGGTTGGTGTGGGGTGTGGGCATGTGATGTCACGGGGGTGTCCGCCGGCGGTGGTTGACAGCCTGGCGCTTACTACTCCTGGGTAAATAGGGAGCCTTATCTACATCGCGTCGCTCCGAAAGGCTCGGGATGTGGAGGGTATCTTACAATGATACAGGCAGTTTTCAAGATTATTGTGCTCTATGGACTAACGAACAGCTGTTACACTCATCGTAACTCAGTGTTCTGATGACTGAGAGCTGATACTCCCTCGCTTACCGTCAAATGATTACGGCCTTGATCACTGTGGAGAAACAGATTCTACATCTACTTACATTGAGTTATTTGCTTACCCTCCAGGACTATGGCTTATTCGTCTACTTACAACCAATGGCAAAAGCTTCGTGTTTGTGAAAATCACGCATAAGTCTTATTCAAGCGAGTGCTATCATTCTTAACTTGGAAGCTTTATCACGAAACACACAGTGCCTTCAACCTCTCGAGTCTCACCGCATCACCCCGCCATCACCTGTGGCATCTGTACCAGAGCTCTCTTAGAATTGGCCTCCAGTAGGCTGGCTACCACTGGGCTGACCACCACTAGGCTGGCTGCCACCAGACTGACCGCCACCGGGAGTGGAAGAGTCGTCATCAACAGCAACGCCACCACTGGAGGTGTAGATGAAGCTGTAGTTAGGGTCATAGGTGGCAGACACATTGACAGCAACAGTCACCCATCCGAAGAGACCATCATCCAAGCTGTCTCCAAGGTAGACGTAGTTCAAGACAGGGTCAGAGTCGGAGTTTTCAGTCTCGTCGGAGAAGACACGGTCCTCTGCGTTGGTGGTGAGAGTGACAGTGTTAGTGTTGTATGGGTAAGTAGCCTCCACGTCGTTGATGAGATCCTGATCCCAGAAAAGCTGACCAATATGCGCAACAGTGCCACCCGTAATGGTGTTATTGTCAAGCACAGTCACATCCAGGTGGGCAACCATGTGATGATGGGTGGTACGGCCGGAGTAGTGGCCCGGGAAGAGAGACTCGAAGGTGACAACACCGTCAGAGTCAGTCTTCTGGATACCACGGAGGAAGGTGGCGTTCAGGTTGGAAGTGTCATCGGTATTTCCGTTGCCGTTGGCGACAAGGCCGGAGTAGACACCGGTGGCATTGCAGTTCCAGATATCCCAGTACAGGTCGGTGATTGGCTCGCAGGTCTCAACGTTGATGAACTGGCCTTCAATCACCACGGGGACACCTGACTGGTCTTCGCGGACGTCCGATCGAATGTACTCGCCAGGAACATAGTAGGGGCCAGTCTCACCCTCTGGGTTCAGAATGCAGGTACTGGTATTGGCAAAGATCTCGCTGGCAGAGGAGTCAGGTGTGATATCAGAACCGGTCACAAGGTGGGACTTGTTGAGGACCGAGTCAGTATCTCGCGCAGCAAGACGCCTCCGGTGGAGGTCCACCAAAGCCCTACGGCGAGCCTCGGCGCGAGCATTGAGACCACTGCGCTCGAACTTGGAAGCACAATTCTCCAAGCCACGACGCATGTTGGCTTTGAAGCTCAGGAGGTCAGAGTTGGCGCGCTTCTCTTGGTGGCCGGGATGAGCAGTGGCAAGGACTGCGCATCCTACCGCGGCCAACTTGATAACGCTCTGGACATGCATTTTAAGGGAGCTTAAAGATGAAGCTCAAAGGTATTGGACAAGAAAAAGACGATAGTTGCAGGGGATGGAGGCTAGAGAGGCTTGAATAGACTGCTTTCTGCTGGATGTCTCCCTCAGATGCCTCCCGGATGAAGGGCCTTTATATGCTGCTCCCTCCATCATGGGCGTCGATATCAAAGTACGCGTTGCCGAAGTACTGTGCAGTCTATACCCATCTGGGCGCGGACGAATTTGCCATTGCGCGGAGTATGTTCCCTTGCCGAAGCGATACCAAACTCCAAAGACAAGTAACTGTCGTCAGCAGTGGGTAGAATCAATGACGAGCGTGTACTAATCCCTGCCTACTCTATCCAATGTTGCCGGCCAAAAATGAGCGAAAGCGTGCTCAAGTGATGAATCTACTTGCCAGGAAGGAAGATGACGAATCCCTCCCACCGGCCAAGACCATCGGCCGCGGGGACGCTGCGATGAAGCTCGCCCGCCAAGACCGCCTAATGATGTCCCTCAAGAGTCCAACACCCCAGACGCCGCGTGTCATTACTATCCAGAAGCCACTGATTGGCTTGGCTTTGAGGAAAACTGCGATGATCTGCACATCAGGGCTTAATATTCATCCGGTATCAATCAGCACAAATGTGATTCGCGACAAGTTGGTGGCTTTAGCTCGTGGTCCTGGCGCAGGCGTACTGAGTACCTACGGAGCAATACCCGTAGGCTTGGCGAAGCCAAGGCCTGTTTACAGCCCTAGGTCCAGACTGGCTGTGAGTCGCGCTGTCTGGCAGGAATTTCGGGCCCCGAGGACCCCATGATCCCGCTGCAATTATCCCGCTGCCCACTCTCAGAGAAGTGTGCGTGTTTCAATTATATGGTGGCTTGTGGGGACCCCAGATGAGATTTCCACGGAGACCAGAAGTTTACTGTGAAATCGCTTGTTCTCGGATGATCGGCTTCACTTCACCGTAGGCTGAAAACCAAGAGGAGACATGTGCTGGCTGAATATGCCGAAGGGAAGATTGCAGTGCTGATCGCTCGCCTAGCCAAGAGCTGCGCAATCAAGCTCCGCCTTGGAACAGTCGTAGACGTTATTGTAAGGGGTGGGATATGGAGTCTATGACCCATTCATAGTCTGTATACAGGTCCCGTGCCACTGCTTCATCGCGCTACTTTTGGGTGATGATCGACACCTGTATAACAAATATACGTTTTTGCGGTGGATGGCATCTGCCTCATTTGATCCCTTCCATTGGCAGAGCTCACTAGTGATGGTAAATTTACAAGCTGCATACCCAAAGAAAGCTGGACAGACAGACGGTGCGGAGAATGTCCCATTAGGGCAATTCTCAGAGCGGAGTCTAGACCTCCAACAGACCAACAGGACCAACAGAATGCGGAGAACATGCAGAGAAGTCTCCGCACATGAGCAAAAGATGTTATTGAGCCTGGTGTGTAGTCGATTCTGGGGATTGAGTTGCGTGCACTCTGAGAGATCGAGGCATAGCAGTATCCCAGCAAGGCATGCGCTTCCAGAGACAATACATTGCTCCCAACGGGCCTCTGGCATTGGTGGAATCATCAAAGCCACAGGATGCAGTGACGGCAACCGATCCATGTGAAAGCTGCAGTCCTTTGGCCTGGATTAATTTTATGTTCAACCCTCCCATACTAGAAGGGGCGCAGGCCCCAACTTTCAACTCATCCTCGAGGATGGAACGAGTGGTGCAGGAATGTACCATCGATAGGACCGGGCAGCTATCATGCCCATCAGCCGATGTCTCCTTTTGATCCAAGATGTTCGACACAAATGAGTGGCGTTTCAAACCGGGCCTATTCACACCAATAGAACAGGAAGCGACGGACGTGTTACACAGAAGCCGACTGCCTTTGTCCCAGTCCAAGTCATCCATTCGCGCTGCTCGATGCACCGACCTCTTCTAAGCGCCGAAGGGGACAAGGCTGCATCAAGTCAGTTTGAAGGATTCCTGCGTCTTCGCGCTCATGCAGGAGACAGCAAATAGGCGCGGCGCATTTCCCATGGGCGGCTATTAGGCTTTCATGGCTGAAGGGCTCTCGTGAAGATGTTTCACCTATTCGCGCTTTGTGTGAGACCATTCTTATTTTTGGCAGCTGAAGAATGCTGCAGAAGTTAAGATGGGCTATTCATTGCTTGCATAAGTAGTTGATGTCTGCAGGTTTTCTCGTCAGGGTCTTTTCTGTCTTGTCTGTACACTACCTTACCGTCTATAGCTTCAATTCATACCCTTCCTTCTGCCATTGATACCCTTTTCTCTTTCATTCAATCTCTTAATAAGCCTTCTGGCAAGGCTATTTCTTCTCTACACTCCTCCACCTCTCACAACCTACCCCATAAAAAGACAAAAGAAAAAAGATACACCATGGACCGCAGCCTCTCCACCGAATCCACCATAACCACCACCATAACCTCAACCGCCTCCATCGAAGAAGAATCCAAATTCCTCACCCGCACCCAACACCTCCGACACACGCGCCTAGCCCTCGCCATCCTCACCTTCCTAATCACCATCCCAACGATCGCCTGCGAAGCCATCGCCCTCCACCACTACCGCCAAACCTCCCCGTACGCACGAGTCTGGCTCAACCTCTGGCCCTTGAACCTAGATCTCAGACCCACCATTGCCCTACTCGCCTGCGGCTGCGTGATAGCGTTCCAGAACTTGCTTTACATCGTTACAGCCGTTATTCCTTCTGTGAGTTCCCATACACCAACATCCATATCCAAGTGATACTGATAATGAAACAGCCCCGCCCGCACATCCGCCTCCTCAACCTCCTCGCCGCAGCAACAGCCCTCTCAGGCTTCATCGCCGCGCTCGTGGGCCTCATATTCGTGATTTACCAGCCTGGAGCGAAGCATCCGAGCGGGTTCAGTGAAATGGAGACGCTGCATTCGTGGACGTGTAAGTGGGGGGTTGTGAGGGATGGATATGATTCTATGAGTGGGAATAGCACTATTAGTGCTAGTACGAGCGGTAGTTATAATGCCACGGTTGGGGGTGATGTTACGGCGCCGGTGCATTTTAAGCGGGATTGTGATGTCACAAGCGCTGCGTTTGTCTTGCTTTGTGTGTTGCTGGGGTTGGAGGTTGTTATGGGGGTGGTGGTTGGTGTAGGGGTTTGGGTTGAGAGGAAGGTTGGCGGGTTGAGGGGGAGGATTGGTGGAGGGTTGGAGGGTATTGGGGGTGGAATGGGGGCAGGGGGAGGGATGAAGGGGGAGAGTAAGGTTTCTGTGGGGGGTGTGGAGAAGTATCCTGGGACTTGATTGACGTGAGGTGATGGGGTGGGCTGGGTTGGGTTGGTTGGATTGGGTGTGATGTTGGTGTTGGTGGATGTGTTGTGGGAGTAATAGGTAAATTGATATAGTCATGATAGGGCATTCACTAGATTCCTGAATGTAATGTAAGGCTGGGGCGTTACAGCTTCGCTTCTCCCTTCCCTTTGCTACTGTCCATCCTCACTCCCTCGTCGTCCTGCTCTGCGACTTCTAGCACGGGCATCTCTTTCGGCATCATGCGTCTTGGATTGCTTCCGGGGATGACGGAGTACTTGGAGAAATCGGTCACCCCGCAGTAATCACGAAGGAAGTCCTCATCGAGAGCTAGAAGTCCGTTCACGACGTGTGCTGGGGTGTTTAAGATCCCGAGAATTGCGTCAGAGAAGATTGTCTGCGTTTGTTAGTATGTATCACAAAGGAACGTGTATGATAATAGGAACCTACCGGCTTCCTCAAATCAGCCTTTCGCGAATCGCCATTGTTTGCAGGATTCATCTCCGTTGCTGCGCTTTCAACAGCCTATTCATTTATCGTTAGCCAGCCACAGCTCAAAGCAAGATAGTCAACATACCGCAGCAGGCCAAATACTAGTAATAGCCATATCCGACTTGCCCTCTCTCACCCAATCCATAGCCAAGCCACGAGTGAGCACACTCATCCCGACCTTGCCTGTGTATTGTCAGCACTACCCAGAACCCTATATCTCAACCCAAAGACTCACCCATAGCATAAGCCGTCTTTCCCCTGAAAAACCTCGAATAAATCGGCGGCGAGACCACCACAATTCTCCCCTTCCACCCGTTCTTCTCAAATACCGGCAACGCCGCCATGATTGTCGCATACAGACCCTCCGGATTAACCCGCTGCATCAGCTGGAACCTCTTGAGAGGCGTATTGGCAACAGACGACCACCATATCGCACCAGAATTGTAGACCAGAACATCCAGCCGACCACCGCTGATCCGTACAGTCTCGTTCACCAGGTTATCGACCTGGGTGGGGTCGCGCACATCGACTTGGATGGGGTGGGCGGTGCCACCAGCGAGGGTGATTTCGCGGGCGACGGTGTGGATGGTGGAGGCGGGGGAGTTAGGGTCTGGTGGGAAGGATGCTGTGGGATCTGGCGAGGTGGCGGATTTGGCGGCTATGATTACTGTATCAAGCCATTACTTGTTAGCGAGGATACATGTTAAGTATGGGCATGGAGAAACCTTGTCTGGCATACCGGTGTATCCGTTCTTCGCGAGGTCGATAGCAATCTGGCGGCCAATGCCTCGAGAGGCGCCCACGACTAGGGCGACGGGGTTGGGAGACCGAGTAGTCATGATGGCAGTCAATTGAATAAACCAAGCTTTGTGTATTAAATATAGCTAGATATTATTCAAAGGCACCTCGAGACGCCGTGGGTTGATATAGAGGTCCAGGTTCGGTCATCCTCGGTAGATGGAATGATTAGTAGTCATTTCGCCGAGCGCGCGGCTCGGCCCGTTAACAGAGGGTTTAGTATGGAGATGAGGGGTTCATGGGACAGCTTTATGCCCTGCCGTTTATTGGAGGCATGGGTGATTCTGACACAATGTGTAAGTAAGTTTTGTTGTTGAATTGCTGGAAGGTGTTGTAGAAGGGCATCCACAGTTTCTCCTTATCGCAGCAACCTCGGCGTTATCACTGCATCTCCATCGCCGCATCTTGGCTCCGATTGGCTGTATTCATTACATAATCATTTATCGTATCCTACACCGCCCTGGCAGAATCTCGCGTCTTTCACAGCGTTTCACTTTTCCACTTCAGCAACAGACAAATACATCACAGTTATCTATCAGAATGCCACCAGACATGGGTTCTCCCGCCGCCGAGCTTGATCTGGATGATGAGCAGTATGACTCCGCCGAAGACGAGGACTTCCAGCTCGACGCAGCCCAAGATGACGCCGACTCGGGCATGTCCGATTCCGACGAAGAGGAGGCTGTCGACGAGACAGCGCCCAAGCGACGAAAGAAGGATGCTAAGGATGCTGCTCAAGCAGCCGGTGATGACGACGAACTGGCGTCTGGGGATGAGGCGATGATTCAGAAGGCAAAGAATAAGAAGAGGAAGAAGGGAGATGAGGACGTGGATGTGGATCTTGATGATGATGAGGAAGGGGGAACAGGAGGTTTCGTGCGGACGCGCGCGATGAAGATGCGAATGTACGTGGTGTCTATTTATCTGACAGTCTACTAGATCTGGGATTATACTGACGCGATACTGCTACAGCGGAGAAGAGCGCAAACCGCTCGCGAAGATCGACGGCGCTACGGTTGATGTGGATGCATTATGGGCGAAGATGAACGCTCCAGACTCGGGAGTAGATGGTTCTTCGGCACAGGATGAGAGCAAAGATGCTACGCCTGCGGCTGGACAGAACGACGGAGAAGCGGCAGGAGGTGATGATGCGACTCCTTCGGCACAGGAACCCCAGACGAACTATACCGAAGAAATGGTAAAGATCAAGCGCACGTACAAGTTTGCCGGAGAGATGATTACGGAAGAGAAAATTGTGCCGAAGGATTCAGCGGAGGCTAGGCTATTCCTGGCGGGCGAGAAGGATGCGGAGACCGTCACTGCTGCAGATGTCGACCACGCCGCGAACGCCAAAGACGCCCTCAAACTGCGCAGACCCCTTCGACGACCCTCCCGCTTCGACCCGAATCCGACCGGCACTATCAAGAAGAGCTGGGAGAAACAGCCCGTTACGGAGGCGACGGCTGGGCAGGAGAACGCCCGGGGACCGAAGATCAACACGGTCGAGAAATCGCGTCTGGACTGGGCTGCATACGTGGACCAGGCTGGAATCAAGGACGAGCTCAACGTGCACAGCAAAGCGAAGGAGGGGTTCCTGGGTCGCATGGATTTCTTGGACCGTGTGGGGGCCAAGATAGACGAGGAGAGAAGAAATGCTCGTCTGAAGGGGCTTTAAGGTGCTTCAGTTTCAGTTTCCTCTTTTCTTTTGGCTTCTCGACTGCCTCTCGACACTGGCCAACTCTTTGTCCGAATCCCTCCCATGCAGGTGCGGAGCAATGCCAGAATCTTCAGCACTGGATTCATTGTCCCCAGGCTTCAACTTTCTCGACTGGCCACGTTTCCCAGTCTGCAAGCCGGGCTGGCTACATGCCGCAATCCGCACCGAGGACCGATGCGTTGTATATTAGCTATCATCCATAACTGGAGGTAGTGCCAGACACGTGCTTCCGGCTCGATCCACCGGGCTCAACTCATCTCCGCACTATGCGGTTCGCTTACGCGGATGGATGCTGCTGGTTGGATGGCGTATATTGCCTATGCATCGCACTAGTATGGCTGGCGTAAGTGCCAGCTAAGTCGATGTTATGACTTATGACATGTGAATTTGGAGATGTACGATATTTTTAGGATGGTAATATTCCTTGATCCAATAGAATGATATTGGTTGCACACGCTGTATAGCTAACTAGTTACATAGTACTTTAATTTATCCCTTCATGTAATAAAAGTAGTAAGGGAGAAAATGAAACAACCCAAAATAACATTCCTCCATTGGAGCCTCGAATAGTCATTTGAAGCTCCTCAAATCGATACTCTGCTAACATCCTTCGGAACTTGGTAGTTTCCTGCGTACCCAGCTGTATTCGAGGAGAATGTATGATCTTAACAATCCCCCATAATCCGAGTGTCTACGGTATCAGTAAGTGGGATTTTATCAGCGCCATGCAAGCATTCTGAAAACTCATCCCACTCCGCAGAAACCCCTACTTGTCCTTCTACCAGCCCCGGTTAGTACGGCACTGATGTACACTTCTTCTCCAGGGAAGTAAGTCCACACTATGCCCCTTTACCTTCTAGAGTAAGACCTGGTCTCGCAGACATTTCAGCATGAGTTGCAACAGTAGTGCATTTTTCACCTCGATCTGCTATGCCCCATGCTCATTCTCTTCTCATGGATGTGACCATGGCATCTCTAGCATGTCTTTACAACAGTCTGAAGCTCGATAGTCGTATCATCAGCACCGCTGATAACTACACCAGCATCCTTCTTGTCCACACAGCTTTCTGTATGAAACTTTCTCATAAGTCACTTTATCGCATATCAACTCTTGGCTTCGCTCAATGCTCGGATAAATGCTGCAGTCAGCTGCAGATGTGAAGTGTCGTAACGGCTCTGGGACCGTGTATAGCTGGTTGCAGTGGGTACAGCCATGAAGGAGGTAGACATCTTCTGAGTGAGGAGATGCTGGAATATGTCGTGGACAGGTTGTCAGTCAAAGTCACGGAGAGGTTTTTGATGATATCTGTAGTCATAAAATTGACTTTAGGCTTAGAAGAAGCTGTTTCTTCTTGATCTGTAGATGCCTTTCTGCCGAAAGACGGATTTTGAAGACTAGTATGTGTCAGTCCAAGGCTAGATTGAAATGTGCAGATAACTGCCACATATCCATTTCTTTTCTAGAATCATCATCATTTTTGTAGCTTGTTTCTGCTTACCAACACCTTTCCCAGCTCGTCACAGTCGATTTAAACTTTTGGGCATACTTGGACTTATACCAATCGGATACAGCGGATAGCCCATGTCTTTTTTCCAGTGCGTTATAGGTTGTGAGAACCACGGAGTATCGACTGTCACTTTCCGGATTAAACATTGGGTAGTCTTTAGTTAGGCGATCATGGATATACAGAGAATTGCTTCTCTGGAGCCGATTATCGCCATAATAGATGCACATAAATCTGAGGGACTTCCTCATGTCGTCGCAGAGGTGTCGATGACTTAAGGATACCTTCGATCATCCTGCAATGGACATGTAGTCCACGTAGGTTTAAGCTCATCAAAACATATTCAGAATATCTGAACAACAAGCATTTTTATAAAAGGAGTGATGAACTTTATCTTCCCGCAATGCGATAGGAAAAAGAATGTCTGCTGTACCATCCAGGTTCCTTTATTAGTTGGTTTTGTGCATGTCTTTCATAAGCCTCTCCAGGCCAATCCCCAGAAACTGTGCATTGTCATTAGCTGCGAGAAAGAACACATAGGCCAGATCACCTCTCGTCATTCTCTTTAATAAATAACACCAAGCTCGTCGCTGATAGGACTTATTCCTCCAAACTTCTTCAAATCCATGGGGTGAAAGGAAAGAAGAGAAGTTTGATCCCGTGCTTGAACCTGCAGCGCTACTCTGCTCATTATAGCGACGCTTGACCGTATGGAAGTCGCGTGGTCTCTGTATGCGAACATAACTGGCAATGAACTTTCCCACCAGAGCATATCAAAGATAATGCCTAGTTGCCATATCGCGCTGAATATGACGAAGTTCCAAAAGCTGTCGGGAGGCGGCGGCAGCGCTTTGGTTCGGCAATGTTATCGCCAGCTCTCATTTGACAAGTACGGCCAGACAGAACAAGCAAAGAAGAAGACGTACTAGATAGACAATCACAGCAACAATAGGAAACTGTGAGAGGATGACCAGCTTCTCTGGTGCTTTGGTAAGTATCTTTCTTAAGTCCCGAGACTGCTAATAAGTATCTGAAGATATTGCCAGCGTGTCGAACCTTCCAGCAACATATTAATATTAGTAGCCCACTGGCTGTCTTCTGGAAGAGGGATGATTCCTATATCCTTTATACATGGCGCAGTTGTGGTGAAATTCTCAAAAGTGATATTATTCTGCTTTGTATATCAGATGAGACCAGGAAATGCAGCACAGACACGAACTGCACGAGTCATACTCGTGAGTTTGGCTTTTAATACTGCTTTATTTCTGACTTCCAAGGCATCCTTCTTGAACAGCTGCATGCGCTCCTTCCGGAGCTCTTCTAGTAACCGGTGATCTGGCTCTTCGAGCGGGCTGTCGATGTCCTTGATATGCTTCAACAGGTAGTTTCAGGCATGGTTACCCGAACCACATTTGCGGTGCATTTAATGAAGTTGGTTGCTTGGAAGAAGTCACAGAGCCTGTCCAAAGTCAAATCAAAAATATCTACCTAGATTTTATAGAAGCCGTCTTAGACTGCTTCCTGAGCTTCCCAAAGTACTCATGGTTTAAGTGTACTGTGGCCTGGTTGGTAGTCCACTCCAGTAATCTCCATGAGTATTTGAATATTACAAGGGAAGGAGGGGCAGGGAATAGCAGAAAGAAGTCAATATGCAGGCCACCAGCATGTCTTCACCTTCAACTTGTCAAGAATATAGACAATGGAACTGCTGTTACCAAAGAAAAGATAGCACTCATCACAGAATGTCCGCGCGATGGGGATACTATGGATAGTGATTTTGTGCAGCTGACCTTTCAGCCTAGTCTTGGAAAAACTGTGCCGCAGATGGACCTCGCAATTTTCGAATATCAGTGGGCTGGCGAGCATGATCAGCAGCTCCAGCTGCAGGCCACGCGTAATCATATCTCAACTCCTTTTTGTCAGCTAGGGTGATTCTGCCAGACTGCCAGGTAATACTTAGCTCAAGCCAGGTCTTTAGAAGAAGATGTTTAGGCAGGATAAAGACTTCATGATGGTTTCGATCCTTCCACTTGTCAAACTTCTGAATATTCATATTCTTGAATATAGACCTGTGACACACAACAAATTCCATTTCTTTAATCAGAGCATAAGTGGGATCCACGAACGTTCCCTATTTGCTTACCCAATTACCAAGGAGTGCCTTATCAACAAATATATAGGTCGCGCCTGGCTGGAGTTTTGCAAGCATGTGGTTGGGAGCAGTGGGGCGACAAAACGCCTCTTTGATGAGTGGTCGTCTCTTTATAGAGTAACCAGATAGCCCCGTACAATTGGTACAGGTAGAGAGCTCAGTCTTTGTAGATTCCTGCAATGGGGATTTTGCACTGCGGGTTCAGAATTATCGCATGAAAGGCCATCATTGAAGTAGTTTATGCTATCTGATGATTAGCCAGGGGCATATAGATAAACCAGGTAGTTCGCAGGTATACCTGCTCCGAGAGTTTGTTCCACACCCATCATTCAGTAATACTTTCGTCTGGTGATTCTCCCTGGTTCGGCTGTAGAAGCCTTTTACGCTGTCTTGCCCTCCAGTGCGGGGCGAACGCAGGACAGGCAGGCTCGCTTCAAAATCCATTATGGCTAGTGAACAAGATGTGAATATCAGATATCACACGACTGGCATGCTCGCCATGCACATTGCATCTCTCATACCTCATATTCCCGATTTCGCATGTACTACATGCCTGGGCCGCAATTCGTTACGTTCTCACGCGGTGCCACAAAGCAGCTCTTAGCAGATTACCCAAATCACTATCTCCATCTGACCGCAGCGTGTGTTGGACTGTAGCCTTCAATTCCCCCCAGCGGCGCCAGTGCTCATCGATAGCATTGCCCATCCCAGAAGCATTTAGGATCTCGGCAAGCCGATAATGACAGTCAAGTAGTACGGGACTGGGAAGTGGAAGATCCTCCGTGCCCGGTGCCTGCTTTAGGACTATTACACTATTATCAGTGATACAACCGAGCCAAGATGATCCGAGTATAAGTTTTCGCAGCCGTCCCATATGCCAATGAGCGTGCTTCGCCTTCTCCTTATCGATATAAAGTAATCTTCGACTCAGCATTATGCAACACGGGGCCCTAGACAATCTGTATTTGGTTCCATGATAGAACCAATGGGGATGTCAGGAGTAAAATTTCTATGCTCTTTCTCGTGCCGGGGCAGGGGAGCTTTTATCAAGAAGGACTCGATGTCCTCAAGATACGTAAATCGGACGACCGTTCCCAGTCTCGAGCGTTTTTTCTTCTTCGAGGCGAAGCAACATATATGGCGAGACGTATTTGTATGTCATGCACTTGGTGGTACATGCTTGTTCAGAGATCCCAGAGGGCCATGACATCTGTTTTGCAATTGTCAAAGCCTCGATATGTTGGGGCAGTATAAGGTTGTCATAGCAAGTGTCGCTGATTCGGGCAGAGTGTACGTCAAGGATATGCCTAGGTAGTATTTCCCATGTCTAGTGAATTAGTAACAAGAATATCATATCCAGCCGCGGATTCCTTTTTTTGTCCGCTGCGTATCCCGCCACGACCAGCATTCTTAGAAGCCGGACCCAATACTTCAACCCTAAAGAAAGCTGGTGAGGGTCTCGCGGCGAACCAGACCAAGGTCATTCTATACACTTATAGTCAGCACGAGGTGATTTATTGGGAGAGAAAATACTTACGTAACGCTTTTGTCACCAATTTGTACTTTCCCACGAACTGGTCTGTGTTGCTTTGACCAGCTATGCTTTGTGACCAGTCATCTACCGCCTCAGCCATAAGTATGCAGTTTCCGGGTGGGTAGAGTGTTGATATTGACGAACGGTGATGGCTTTTTGCCCTCGTAGTAGGCCACCGAGGTCGCAGATGTTCAAGGGCCTGCGGTTTCCTAGTTTTTATGGACATCAGTCTGATACTTTCCTGCGAGCTAGGATCGATAATCCAAGAAGCTTCTCCTTGGCAAAGAAAATTCATAGGCGTCACATTATGGCATATAAATGTCGCACAGGGTCACAGAACCAAATGAGCAAATATAGGGTTGATTCAAAACCCAGCGAAGAACCCAATTGTCTGAACATCAGGATAGTAGATGAACCAGCAAAGAGCAGACGGCAGTTATCGCAAATCACGCTCTCTTCGAAAATAATCTCTAGTTTCTCGGAATTCTGAACATCCGTCCTATATCCCCCTGTGAGCCGGGGTCCCAATAATAAAGCTTTATGTGGCACTATTCGGCTGAGATTGGTGCTTTGTACGAAGTATATGAGCTGGTTCGTATTGCTCCAACCAATGACCCTTGATCTCCGAAACAGCTATCCCGCTTTCCAGCCAGTGTTGAGTTTGCAGCTATTCAGAATGAGAATAATGCCAAACTGGGCCTTACGCAAGCCACCCCAACGGTCTTCAATAATGTTTTCCATCGCAAGCTGGACCATATCGCTCCGAACAACCCATCAGTCCTGTGTGTGACCGAGTGGGCAACGCAGGAGAGGCTGTTACGTATTTTGATATAGGGGAGATACGTTCTTGTCACTTAATGTCATCCCATTCAGTCTGAGGTTATGCATAGTACCATTTCCGATTTCTTCCTCATCGCAGCTACCTGTTCCTTCATACGTGCGATGAGTGCACATCGTTTGGTCAATGGCGGTAAAGCTCTCGGATCAGCTCATCACATCCCACTTGCCTTTGCCCTTTGCATTACTCGGTGCCGTTAGACTCTCTTGAGGAGTGAGTGGTAAAGGCAGGTCATGCGGCCGATATAATGGTGGCAGAAGGCGTGGAATTGTGAGTCCTGCATATAGTTATCTGAGTAGGTAGATAGAGGACCTAGGTAGTAGTGGAAGGCGGCGGCATTCAGGAGACTTGATATTGGCCGGATATACCTCTGTGGAAGTAATAGCTCCTTTCTTCATTATCTGAAATCACACTTCGATTTCAGTTTAGGGACATGTTTACCATATCGCGCAATCGATCGATATGGTAACCTTAGCTAGTAGGAGCAGAACATTCTTCAGAGGATAGATGTTCCAGCAGATCCTTATTGATGATGCTTTGGACGGAGGATAGGATCGGAAGCTGGAGGGTTGTTCCCATATGTCTGAATTCAGCCCTTAGGAATTTGCTCTTGTAGCCTCTTAGTGAAGACATTCCGGGTTGATTCGGTCTACTGTCGAGAGATTCTTCAGGGTGGCGAATTGACTAGGGATATTATGTGTCTTCGGGATGGAGAGCCACATTCTTGGGAATTGCTATGTTGTCTTTAGGGTATGTAGTTGTAGTAGTTGTAGTAGTAGCAGTAGTAGTAGAATTCATATACCCGATGTAGCTGGCCTTTACTATTTAGGGTATGTAGTATGCGATTTTTTTTCTTATTTCATTGCCCCTATCTGCTTGGAATGCGATGTCCATGGGCAGTGACAATGACTGTGCTGTATATTACAGAGATTGATCGAAGCATCTTGAGTGGTCTTCTATCATAAATATGAAGATTTGAGAGTTGGGGGTTATTAAGAATATAAGTGTTTGCTCATGTTATGATGTGATAAATTCAAATTAGTTTCTGGTCTAATCAAAGCAGATTTGATATGTTTTCTGCATTGTGGTAGAGGAGATGTAGGAAGATCAATCAAGAGGGAACTGGAGAGAGGCTTTATATAGCTGAATCATACAGGGAATTTATTAGGTGTACAGGGAATTGTGCAATTCCTTTGAAAACATTGAACTTGATAACTTCAAGTATACATGCAATGAATGATTGCGGCGGATGTTCTGCTAAGAATCATTCCCTCGCAGGCTACCTACTATGTGCAATAATCTCACAATTCACAACCCTTCATGATTCACACCTTACAGCATACTTCATTGTTCAAGTGAAGCTAGATCGAGCGAGCAACTCAATCTAGATCTTCTTGCTGGAGCTGTACTTGGGCGGGTACTTGATGCCAGAGTCCTTGCAGTTGGAGTCCTCGACTGGTGCAATAAGTTAGCTGATGTCTCAAATTCAATTGTAGGTAACTTACGCCTCTCAGAAGCAACGTAGGTGCCGCCGATGGCGCTACCCTTGACGTTGAAGTAGTAGTAGAGCTGGGACAGAGCACCGTCCTCACACCCAACATACGGGGGGTAGCCATCGTGGATCGCGGCGAGAGCATCCTCAATGTCGCTCAGCTTGTAGGTGGCATCCTCGGAGGGAGTAATTCCGGCGTCGGAAAGAGCCTGCTACTGTTAATATCTATGAAAAAAGGGAAGGGGCGTTTGCATACGGTGTAGGAATCCAAGGTCTTGAAGAGGTCAACGACCTGCTGGAAAAAGTCACCAACTTCCTCCTGAGCGTAGTAGTCGGTGTAGCAGCTGGGCTCAATGGTGTTGATGCAAGTTCCTAGAAAGTCAATATGCCGGTTCCGAAAACAAATTGACTAGACATACCGTGCTTGTTCCATTCGTGCTCCCAGAAAGACTCGTCCTCATCAGCACCCTCGTAGTCGGGCCAGTATTCCTTCATGTAGGACAGGAGCTCGGTGCGATTCTGCGCTTCGAGGATGGAAGTGATGTTGCTGTACTCGCGAGAGTCGTCGCAGTACTCCTGGTAGGTGCCATCGCAGTTATCGGGCCTGGAAAGCTCATTAGCGATGATACAGAGATCCGGTGTGTCGGTCCTACCAAAGTCCGTGGATGGTCCAAGAGTCGCTCGGGCCATCGGAAGGGTCGTAGTCCCAGAATTGAGTCTGGAGGAGGGAGCCTCCAGGAGAGTTGAAGCAGCAGGAAGCTTCGTTGTCGGTCTGGCAGCTCAGGGGGCTGTCAGAAGAGCAAGTGTCAATGGTAGCCAGCGCACCAGAGCTGAGCTGCATTGCGCCCAGGGCGAGTATGCCCATAGAAGGAAGGAAAGACATTATGCGTAATAACCGATCGTTAACTTCGTGAGGGAGAACTCAATGGCTGAATGACAATCGGGAATGCCGGGTGCAATTGACCCAATTTATACCTTGGTAGCGTGTAACGCCAGTTACTTGCCCATACTCCGCGTCGGTTGTCCGCCTAGCGACCAGGCCACCGCATGTGGGTAGCGGGGAAATCAGCCACCGAAAGTTGAAGATAGCACATGCCCTGATAAGGACGAGCTGATTTGCCGCAATCGATCAGAAAAGCAGCCTTAGGATAGCGGAGGACGCCGTGAGGACCCGCACCTCCGCTGACGATGAGCTGCCGAATTGGCCAATTGACCGGTGTAGCGGTGGTCTGCAGTCGGTCTGGAGGATGAGCCGTCGGGGCGCCATCGGAGGTTAGGCCGAAGAGTGGGTAGAGCGAGCAGACCAGCCAAATTAACCAAGAGCGAGGCAATCAGCTCTCAAGCTGCGTATCAGAAGTTGTTCTTGCTTTTGAGTTGAGAAGAAATTTGATTCGCTCTGGGCGGAGTGATCTGCAGGACCGGAGGATGGATTAATTTCAGGAACCGGGCAACCCCGTCAGCAATGGGCGAATGGCATCGCCAGAGCTGGTGTTGGCTGATGTTGTCGACGAGGATTAGAGGCAAGCCAACCCATGAAGAAAATAATGGATGAAGGAAAAACAGGAAAGAATGTCCGACCTGTTCCTGCAGCAGCCTATTACCCGACACAAGCCGGGTGTAAAGGAGGGAAAGTATAGGCAGTGAAGTTTGTGGTTTGAGGTTCGTGTCACCAGCAATTTCGCAGTCTTCCAGAGACGAGTACCAAGAGATAGCATCCCAGTCGGTTGTTTAAGCACTTGATTAGAGATATTGTCATTGAAGGTGAAGGATGTCTTGGCTCATGCTATCTACTCCGTAGTTAGTCTAACGAGCACTAATGGCTTGACAGTTGACAAGATAACGCAAAATGCGTATCTATCACGAATGCAATCCGGTATGACTGCCAGTGCATACCCTCAATCACTTCATAATAAGCAGTCCTCAATTCAAACACTGAATGTTGAGGTTAAACAACGATGAAAGACAAACGAAGAAGAGAGATAACCGCTCATACCGACAAGCAAAGACAGACTGGTAGCCTGAGGTATCAACACCATACCCGATTAGGTCAACATCGCGCCCTTTTCCCAATCGGGATTGACATCCTTGAGTCAAGAGACTGAAGCAACTATATCAACGGTCTTTCTTATGGAAGATCTAATGTTCACTCAAAGCTATAAACATACTATACACTACACACAACCCTATCATCCACTCCAGCCAACTCGCAGGGATAGTACCACCAAGAAGAATCACTAAACTCCATCCCACCCACCCCGCAAAATCCTTTCAACCAACTCGCAAGATATCTCCAAAAATCTACTACATCTACACCAAGAAAAACCCACACATACTCACTCTAAAATGCCCCCAACCTATCAAATAATCCCCGCCACAACCCCGCACCACCACCTCGCCGCCCGCACCCTCTTCACAGCCTACGCCGCCTGGCTAAACATCGACCTAACATTCCAAAACTTCCAGGCCGAGCTATCCTCTCTCCCCGGGAAATACAGTCCCCAGGAAGGTGGTGACCTTCTCCTCGCATACAGCAGCAGCGCAGACCCCTCCTCCTCTTCCTCCTCTCCGCTGGGCTGCGTGGCTCTCCGTCCGCTTTCCTCTGGGCAACAGCAACTCTGCGAGGTCAAGCGGCTGTATGTTGCGCCTGAAGCGCGGAAGATGGGACTGGGGCGGGCGTTAGTGAGTGCGATTGTGACGAGGGCGAGGGAATTAGGGTATCGGGGGATGAGACTCGATACGTTGCGGAGTATGGAAGGGCCGATTCGCCTGTATCGGAGTCTGGGGTTTGTGGAGGTTGGGCCGTATTATGAGACGCCTTTGGTGGAGGAGACGGTGTTTTTGGGGTTGGATTTTGGGGAGGTGTAGATTCTTATTTTTTATTCTACTGTACAGGCGGGTTACTGGGGGAGGATGGGAGGGGATTGGTTTCTTTTGCACGTCTAATTTGAGTAAGTGGGAAAAAGAAGGTTGGTTGGGGTATAGACTTGATTAAGAGAAAGATTATTTGTGTATATATATTCATTTCTTCGAAACTAGACATAACTAAACAAACAATAGAAGCATGTCTCTAAACTCAGACTGTTGAGCTTGATAATTTTTTGTTGCACTCAGCGCAGATCATGTCTGCATCATGCCAAAAGAAGGAAAGTCATCATAGTAGAAGAGACAATGCGAATCGAAGCAAAAAAGATAACCGGATAAAATTTCCAAGTTTTTGTCAGAAAGCTTGCCCATAACCAAGCTGTTAGCTATGCGCTTCCAAGAATTCCTCCTCGCATATCAAGGTCGGCGTATACTATATCCGCAGATCATCAGGTCCCAAGCCTGTTCAAGAAACATCATCTTCCAAGGCATTTTGGGTTGCCAGCCACCTCGATTTGTTGAGGAACGGCATCTGCATGAGGAGGGAAGAGAAACGGTGAAGATTTTTTGCTGGTGGGGAGTATTTATGTGGTGATATTATATAAGCAGGAATAGCTGGGCCATGAATTGGTTAGTAAGGTTATTTGTGCAGTCATAGTTGTGCGCTGCCTGCCTCGCCGCGTTGTATGCTAGGCCAAAAGAGTGGATTGAAGGACCAGAGTCAAGCGATCGCTCGAGTTACCTTCTTAACAATGATGAATGATGGGGTTGTTTTGGATTTACTGTCCCCCCTCAGCTGAAAGAATGATCCACGTAATTTGAATTATTGTGGCGGAGTATACTGTGTGCTCCAGGTCAAAAGGTCTGTGCCCGGCGTGTACAACCAAAACCCTCCCCATGAGGTTTCGAACATGGAATATTTTCCGCGGAAACAAGCTCCCTATTGCCATGCTAAGAAGATAGATTCATGCAGGCACTGATCAATAGGAGCAATCCACATGTGATATCACATACAGACAATAGTGTAACCGTTTCAGTGGGTGTCAAAAGTTTATTTGGGTCATTCTGGAAGAAGTAGGGAATGGGACGATCCCGGGATCCCAGTGATGTGTGGCTGCGCACCGGGGTCGCACATACTATGAATGCCATTGTGTAAATTTAGACGTGTTGTGCTGGGCTGCTGGAAGGACGAGGCATGCAGGCTTGAGAGAATTAACTATTCTTGATTCAGAGGCCGGTGAGAGACTCAGACGATCGGCCTGTAGGTGTTGTACTTGTAGCACCCATGAACCCGATCACATAAATACGTGGTGGTTGTCGGAAATATTATGCTTACCTGGTTTTACAGATTGGAAGCAAGATCTGTAGTTCACAAGTGTCTGCCTGCATTGCATTAGTGGCATCGGAACTGCTGTCCGCTGTGCTGTTCCAAATTGTAATCTAAGGCTGGGTGGTCACTCGCGGCTCGAGTCCACTCTATTGAGTTGAGAGAGGTTAGGGTGGTATTTGATGGTAGTAGTTAGCATGCACTGCTACTTCGGATGGTCTTGCCGGTCGTATTGTTCTGCGGGTGCCTGGACTCAGCACGTTGGGTAGAAGACATGGCGTTTTGAGGCTGAAGTTTCTCGTGAAATGGCATTCGTGGGGGATGTTTGTTTGATCTGCGGATTTTCGAGAGTAGAATGAGGCGCACTGCAAGATGAATGCATGGAATGGAAAGGAGAAGGTAGAAGGTAACGCTGCCGTAGAGCATTCATGCCGAGATAAGGCTATGGACGCGTGCTTTCTTTTGGTACTTCGGGACAACGATCTAGACTGTGAAGTGGTATACCGTAGATTCTCCTTCTGCGGCGATTCTTCGAGGTTCGGAGAGTCGAGAGACGTGTTCACATTCCAGATGTACTCTAGAAGGTCAGTGCGGAGGTAAAGCTTACCGCTGCTGGCGATCGTGCTTCACTAACGAGACAATCGGCTGTCGGAAAATGGAAGGCTGCAAAGACAAAACTCCTAGGCATGGTCACCGTAGGTTGGCCAACGAAGCTACATCTGTTGATTTGTTGGATCCTGTACCGAGATACATCGGCTAGCAGGAATGTAGTACAAACGCTCAACTGGCCATGCTGGTAGTCCGCGAACGCGTGAGGCGGTCTACGTTCAGGCTGCATATCACCACCAGTAAGTCCTCTTCCTCTTCCTACCTGCGCATGGAAACGAAACCGACAGCTTCTCATTACGAATGGGCCGGCCAGACGTCCAGATGCACGCTTGTGGGAACCATACATGTAGTTGAGTGTGCGTATGAAGTATGAGTAACGCAGAGAGTAGCTGAGCAAGCCAACCTCGTCTCGCGTTCTGTGCTACAGGTTCCCGCCTCAGCTTGTACTACCTCGGAGTCAAAGACTGTGAGACCCAGTCCGTCCAGGCCGGCTGAACACCAATGTAAGATCAGTTGAGGTGGGGAAGCTAGAGCAGATCCACTAAGACAATGCAACCTACCTCCCTTTGGAGATGGAAGTGTCCTTTGCATGAAAGGAAGATGATTTGATCGAATGCCACTGCAATGTTAATCTTCGCCAACAGCTGACACCTCGACGATGAGTGCTTGGAGGGTCATCTAGCCTGATAAGACGGTGGCCTGATCTGGTCCTAGCTTTGGAAACAGCGAAACAGAATTTCCAATGTGGACATACTTGCAAGATCGACAAAGTAATGATGCTATCGTGTGACGGGGAATGGGCACTCATTTCCTCTGCATGTAAGTAAGTAGGAGAAGGGGAGATCTCGAGACATAACGGGGAAAGCCGTCGATGAGCGGTGAGCCTCATTGAGTTATCCGAGAAGAACTTCAACATCCTGGTAACCAACGAAGTATCTGCTCCATATCTTAGTGGTGGACTAGTTAAGAACAGATGTTGAATACCGAGTCATTCCACGGGAAGGACGGAATAGCGAAGAGACATAAGCCAAGCCAGAGTACTTCCAACAGACTCACGGGCTTCTTCCTCGTAACCATTCACGGGACCTGGCATGTGGGGAATTATTGTTCCTAAACCCTTAGGCTCAGATGGCATCCCGGTTGCCGGAATTCCTAGTGGAGAGCAATCCTTCCCCAGTAATACTAGTACTATTTCCAGGACATGCGTACTAATGAGAAGTACGTGGTTAGTCGAAACTTAGTCGATGATTTACTCAGTTGAGCAGTTGAGCAGCTGCTTCAGATCCATATGGCATGAGGGGGAACGATCCATATAGGGTGTCAGTCGATAGATACTAGATCGATGGAGACCGTGAGGAAGCGTCAGCCGTGATCATCCATGGATAAGTTAGATACTACTTACTTACTAGTAGTACTTAACTTACTAGATACACACCATGGGGCCAGTTGACAGAGCGGTAGGGTTGCCGCCAATAGGGATAATGCCAGACTCCTGGAATGTGGGACTGGGTGGGGGGGAGAAGATCGACGGGGGAAAAAGAAGAGACGAAAAGCTAATGCATGTATGTACCTACTTTAGTCTCTAACCACAGCCCGTCTGCCTGACTTGAGATACATCCATCCGCTTCGTCCCCTACTAACTAGTACTACTACTACTACTACTACCAACCAGAAGCGCTCTCTCTCTCTCTCAAGTCTCTTCCCCCCTCCTCTCTCTCTCCCGCTACCACTCTTCCTATCAGTCCGTGCGAGGGCAACACTAACCTCTAAAGACAGTAAAAGTAAGTTGTTAGCTAACTTACTTCATTCGTAATGGTAGATGAGTAATCGTTTCCTTCCCTTTCCTTTGCCGCGGCCCCCCCCCCAAACCCCATCCATGGGGTTGAGAGACGGCACTCCCGGGAAGGAAGTGTGATACGTTCCAGCTCCATCGCACTGTTGGATCTCCAAAGCCACGCTAGGCCTCGTAGCACCATCTGGCTGCCCTCCGTAAACCTGACCCATCAGATACCCGACAAAAATAGGTCGCTCTGGAAAAGACCAAACCCCCCAGAGAGCGGAACCCCATCAGACCCAACAGAAGACTAGTCAGCGGACTTCCTTGTTTCTTCTTTCCAGGCTTCCCAGTTTATTCCAGAATGGTTCAAGTCATGCAATTGTTTGGATTCATATTACTTGTTAGGTATCTCGTATAGTGTTCAGTAGTGGATGAGACCAATCAGATTGAAAAGAACGCAGTCAGGTCACTCCCATCGTGTACAAACCATTCCCTTCCATGCCGTTTTAGCCTATCCATCTCAACGCATTATTATCCAATGGTAGGTTTTGTTTTTAGAAGAAGAAAAAGAAAAGAAAAAAAAAAGAAAAGAGAAAGAGAAAGAGAAAGAAGCCAAATGGAAAGTGCCTCTCCAAAGCATAAGAGATTTTGGGGCCCAGATGGGTGGGGAAAAAAATATAAGATCGTCAAGGAAAACACAAAGGAAAGGTATGCAACATTCGAATTAACAAAGGAAATCGTCCGGTGTATATAGCCAGAAAATGTTTTACAAAGAACGCCGTGAAGCGCCGACCGGGGTCTGTCGGGCCCTGTGTCTGTGCCCATCTAATGACCCAAAAGGGAACGGGCAACTCAGGTGCCCAAGGGTATCATGTTTCGGTCCTTCCCGTATTAAACTCTATATCCGTTCACTCCAACCACGCCTCCTCGCTCGTTTCACGAGCATCGGCCATGAGATCTTGGGACTTGGAGTTGTAGACTGGTCGCCCGTCAGCGGTCAATTGGCCGCGATATTCAGGGTTGTAGTCTGGGCTGTTCTCGTCCAATGTTGCGACATAGCGATTGCGGCCGCCGCGCTTACTGTGGGTCTTCGTGTAATGCGCGTTCAGGTTGTCACTGCGCGAGAAAGCCCGTTCGCAGCCAGGAACCCAGCATACATGCGGCTTCTCCTTGGAGTGGCTCTTCATGTGTCGCTTCAGATGCTCTTGCCTCTTGAAGCGACCCTTGCAACCAGGCTCCTTGCACTTGAATTGGACTTGCTTGATAATAGACGGAAGGTTCTCCAGGCTC